ACTATTTAAGATGAGCAAATATTCTATTCAGTTCTCTGCTCAGACAGTTCTTCCTCTAGAAAGCTTTGCAAAATCTCACTAAAATGAAAATGGTGCTCCTCCTGTGTTCTTCAACACAAATTTTGCTAATCTTCATGGTAGAATCTGTCACTTTATATTGTCAATGCCCATTCATTGATCTGTCTTCCTTTAAAATTCTTGAGGATAGGGACAAGTCACATTGGTTGCTAAATCTGAGTGTCAGCACAATATCCAGCACAAGGGAAGTACTAGATAATTATTTGTTGAATTAAGGAGTCCTATTCCTCAATGGAAAAAGGACAGTATCTTATATTTTGAGAAATACTGAAGTATTGCATATGAAAATCATATGCTGTTTTCTCTTATAAAAAGATCACAGGTATAAATTCCATTTTGTAGTTTTCAAATTAAAATCTTTTGAAATTACATTGGAAAAGAATACAGTACAATAGTTAAATTTTGTGTCTAAACTTTTAACCTTAAATTTCTCTTTTGACAGAATGAATTCATCAAATGACAACTGGACTCTAGAATTACACACTTAGAGTACAAGGTAACAAACACAAAAATTCAGTGTAATAACAGCCTCTTCTTTTTATTCAATTATCTCACAAACCACATCCTTTAAAGAAATGGTATACATAGGGTTCATCTCAAGTATCACAGAGTATAAACTTTCTTTCTCTAGGAGATAATCCAAATAAGTGTGAAGGAATGCATTCAAAGGAATACAAAGAAATGTTAGTTTGACCTTAATCATATATCAGATATTACACAAAACCTTTCTTCTTCAAGGCTAACATTCAAAAATAAAAAAAAAGAAAAGAGGAAATAGATTTTAGTATATTTAAACTATTCAACAATTAAGCTCCCAATTGCCTTTGTTAGCCTAAATTTTTCAAAAAAGTGAGATAACTATAGTAATTCCTAAATAAGCAACCACATTGACACTATTTAGCAGAAAACCGTAAATACTACTGAAATTGATGGGTGACTTTAAAATTCAATTACGCACATCTTATAAAAGAATCATAGCTATAGTATAGTCACTCCCTGGCAGATGTCATAAATTAGAGCACTATAGCTTGAAAGCCAATGTGTTTTATTACACCTTTTATAATGCAATAATCTCAGATCAGTTGTATTTGGGGCAGACAGTGACAAAGTCAGCCTGATTTCTGACATGTAATTAAAGTAAACATTAGCATTGCTACTTTTATGTATTCAGAATTATTATTATTAATGAAAAACACTGATTGGATATCATCTACTTTCAAACATTGTCCTCATTTTCTGTAGATGAATAATTAGTAATTTCTTATGGCCAAACAATGATATTGTACATTTTACCATATAACAAGCTGCACTTTAGAATCATACTAAAAAAGCACAATAAAGTCAGTATGTTTATTTCAAAAGCCATCTTAGATTGCTTAAAGGGAATGAATAAACTGCAGTGTTGCATTATTCCACAGAAATAAACCATTCACTCCATGATCTCCTCATGAAGTACCAATGAAGAAAGAAGGATGCTACGGGATAAACAGAGACATTGCAAGAAATAATAACAATCTCCAGTATTGACCTTCACCATGGGATAGAAATTGTACTAGATGTTGTATGTATTTTATCTGATTTAATCTTCACAAACAAACTTATGAATATTTACAGATTAGAATGCTGGGCTTTAGGGAAATTCTACCAAAGGCATACAGCAAGCAGGGAAAATGAGGTTCAAACTCAGGCCTCCCTAACTCCAAAATACATCCTGTTTTCAGGCTAGCTATACTACAAAATTAGTGGCCACTGCTTCCTCCTTCTCTTGCTTTCTACATTTAAGATCAATTATGTCAGTATGATGCAATTCCTAGTAATGATAATAATGATAACAAACCTCAAACGTTTACTGAGTCTTTATTATGTGCCACACAGGATATCCTATGCATTATTTCACAAGTGCCAACAACAGAGCTGAGATGTACATGAAAAACTGAAGCTCAAAGTTGAGGGCCCTGTCCAAGGTCATTCAGCTGGGCCTGACAACACCAAGAATCCCCAGTCTGTTTCACTCACAGGTCACATCCTTAACTCCTACACTATATAATCCCATGGCAAAGCCTCAACTCAACAGTGTCTAGCACCTTAAAACTCCTTAAACAGAATGATTTCACTGCTTTTAATTTTGCAAACAAAATATAAGACATCAAGAAAGCAAATAGACATGAAAGACTCATTTTCTGTAATGCTATTTCTAATGAATGTCCTGGGCTTAGTATACAACTATGATCACTTAAAACTTCAATATCTCCTTTACAGTATTCCATGATGACATCTGCTGTTCAGAATCACGGCCTTCATCAATACAAGAAATAATCAGTTATGTTCACTGCACTGTACTCTATTTCCTAAAGGGATGATATAAAATCCACTAGATCTTAGAAGACATTTTAACAAGAGTTGGACTGAAAAGGAGTTTCACATCACCAAATCTCAGTAAGCTAGGAAATCCAATTAACTATAATACCCCATTTGCCAGCCTTGTACTTAATCCACATTTTACTGATAGTCGATCAAAACCTTGAAATTATTTAAACATAAGGAATTTTTATATTAACATCTTTGGTTTCTTGCTGAGACTCAATTGTAATGAATTATTTAACAAAAAACTGGAGGGGCTCCAACAGAATCATTAGCATTAGTAAATATATAGTTAATGTGTTTTAGAACAGGGCTTAATGGACTTCAGAAAGCGCCTCCGTGAAGGTTTGGGTCGGAGCTGAAACACCCTCGTTAATAATGCACACGTCTCAACACCTTGGTCTTTCACATTCTTCTTGGCTTCAAACTTCATTTGAATGCAGGAACTCCCCACATGCATCCCTAACTCTGAAGAGTGAAATTGCAAATATCCAATACATGCAATTAATAAAACCATTACTAAAGGTTGGTTTCACAGTATAACTGTACAGTCATCTTGCAAAAGATTTTGTATACCAACACAAAACTTTAAGTCAAAAGACAACAAAAAAAACTTGGCTAAATTTTGATCCATTGTTTTCTCTCACTTGAAGAAAGTTTGCTATTTTACAATGGATGAGTGGAAAGATGATTATAACACTCATGTGCTCTCCAGGGTTTTATTTTAAGGAATGAAGCACCTTTATGCTTAATTTCCATTAACACCTTCATTAACATGGGTGACATGTTACACAAGTGAAACAAAGGCTAGAATGCTTCTTACAGACTCTAAGGGGTAATATTTTTCTGTGCCTGTAGCATTCTCTTGCAGAGCACAGTTACCTGCATCAATGAAAGTTTATGACAGTAGGGGAGACAGCTACCTGTTCAGGTTAAAAAGGCGTTTCCTATGCCCAACACTCGAAATCTAACAAACCCAGTCCACGTGACACTGTTGTCACCCTGTTATAGCCTGTGACATGAATTTATTCTGAAGTGTCCTAAACAGTCCTTGGTCGGTTTTTGATGCTCTGTTGGTTGGTTTAAAGACAATAGCTCCTGAGCTCTAGTAAACGAAGTTCAGAACACTTATTCGTAAATGTCCAGACCACTTCCGAGAGCTCATTTCTCTCCAGCAGCAGGAAGATGTTCAGAGACTGAACACCCAAATTTCGCTTTCTAGGACCCGAAGTACCGAACAATAGATCCCAAGGTAACTGTCCCACTTCCCTTTAGGTTGGACATGTTAAACAATACCAGGGCACAATCCAACGTTTCACCAATTTCCAAAGCTAAATTACTGACTAAACACCCAATACCAAAGCCTACGTACAAAAAACAAGTGACCCAAGCGGCCGCACAGCCCCGCGTGCGGTGGGGACCGAGGTGTCCCCTCGCCCGTCCCCCACGGGCGCGAAAAGAGCTAGCACTAGCGGCGGAAAGGGGGGGAACCCCAATTGTAGGCTTGAGACAGCCCACCAATGAGCCCCCGGGTCTCTGGGGGAAAGGGGTCTCTCTCCTTTCTGTCTCCGCCCTTCCCCAGCCCCGAGATCGCCAGCACCGCTCGCCCGATGCCCGGTCCGCAGCGCACCCACGCCAGCCCCGGGTGGCAGCTGCACGGCCAGTGCCAAGAGCGCGGCGGGGCGCGGGGGCGCGGGCGCTGGGGAGCGGGGGGCGGCCCGCCACTCACCAATGCGGCTGAAACTCTCCGACAAAGTTCTCCGCAACTTCTTCATCTTGCCGATCTTCTCGGCCGGCTGCGGCTCGATGAGGTCGCACATCTGGGCGACGCGGGGCCCCGGCAACTTCCCCAAACTGGTCCAGAGCGGAGCGCAGACAACGGCGAGGGCGCGCGCCGCGGGGAAGGCGGCGCCTCCTCCTCCTCCTCCACCTCCTCCCCGGGCCGGGAGGCGACGCGCAGGGCTGGGGCGGCGGGCGGCGGGCTCCGCTCCGGCCTGGGCCGCGGCTGGGCGGGCGGGGGCGTCTTACGTGGTGCCGGGGGCGGCAGCGCTCCCCGCCGCCGTGGTGGCCCCGCGCCGCGCCGCCGCCGCCCAGCTCATTTTCCCTCCTTTGTAACCGAGAGGAGCGCGGCCGGCAGGGGGGGCGGTGCGGCCGGAGGAGGAGGCGGGGGCGGGCTGGGGACAAGGTGCGGGAGCCGCGAGTCGCCGAGTGCGCGAGGCGAGGGCAGGCGGGCGGGCTGGTGGGGAGAAGTTCTCGGCCCCGAGTTGCGGACGCCGCACGGAAAGAGCCGCGGCGCGGGACCGCCACCCCCACCGCCTCTCCCGCCGCCGCCGCCGCCCCCGCCCCGCCTCCCCTCCGCGACGGCCCCGGGCGCGGGACCCTGGGACGACCCCGGCTCCCCGCTCGGAGCCCGCGTCCTCCGCAGCCCTCCCGGGCCGGCTCGCGCCCTGGTGGCGCCCCCTCCCGGCCGCCCCGCGGTCCGCGGGCCCTGCCCGCCCCGCCCGCGCGCTCGGGTCCCGCGGCCCGCCGAGGGCCGCGAACGGGCAGGGCGGGGAGTCGGCCGCATCTGGGGACCGCATACTAGGCCGTCGGGAGGCTCCCGAACGGGAACGGGCTGAGGCCTGAGCGTTGAGCGGTTTTCTCTTTGGCACGAGCGCGTGTGAAAAAGGCGCGGAGTTGGGGGGAGGGCGGCCGCCACGACTGCCTCCCGGACGGGGTGCGGTAAGGCCTTGGAGATGCGTTCAGGTTTAGGGGTGACTTTTTAAAAAATTTTTTGCTGAGAAAGCTGTGAAGTGAAAGATCCAGAAGGAGAGGTGGGCCCATTTTTTTGTTCATTTGGGTTTGTTTGTTTTGAGGTCAAGTGCAGAAGCGGAAGCTTCAACTATAACCTCCTGGAAGGCAGGGCTCCTGTTGTTTCCCTCATCCCTGTCTCTGATCTGGGTGATGGACGTAGGTGATTTCTGATAGGAATACCCTGTTCTGCAGTAAATAGCAAACACAGTCCTAGTCTGTTTATATCCCATTCTTAAACATGTTTCTGAATTGGAAGACTTAAAGACTAAAATGATTCTGCCCTTCTTTCCCCCCCACCTCAAAAAATGAACTTTGAAAAGGAATGGGGGAGGTTTTATAAAATTCAGGACAAACAGTTCCAGCAGCAGATACACATCATCTTCATTCAAATAAAGTGTGCTGAGAGCTCCAAACTTCAGCCCTCCCAGAGGAGAAAGAAGGAAAGTGGGGGAGGGCTTGAATGTGTTGATTTGGGGCCAGCGAACTCCTTATGAATAGAAACGTTAGTAATCTTGAGTCATCTGGCTGTGTAAGTAACCAGAGCTTCTGAGGGTGTGACAATGCTGTTTGGCTTAAAGGAAGTTTTGGGGAGTTTATGTTTTGTTCAAAGAGTTTTATCTTAAAACAAAAACTACCCCCCTGCCTTCCTTAAATTGTGAGGTAAAACACTGATTTGTTCTGCCCTGCAGTGAGTACATTATACGGTCTTGATAGATTGCCACCGATAAAAGACAGGAAGTCAAGCCAAGCCAAGTGGGGAGCAGAGGAAGGCTGGGAATTTGTGAGGAAAGTCAGTATGAGTTAAAACGCAAGGCTGTTGGATCCTGGCTGCCATATCTAGGTAATTACAGACAACACCAAGTGTGGCCTCATACAGGAAAAAGTTTGACTTTTACCACTTCCTCAGGTTAGCTGAGGAGAAAGTTATCAACAGTTATAAGTGAAAAGACAAAAGCAACCACTCAAAACACTGATGGGTTCTACTAGTCAACAAAGATGAAGAAATATTCATTAATTTAATATGCTTTGACTACCATATGTCTGTAGCTGTGCTATTATTCACTCTGGCAATGGCCGTTTCAAATATATGATGTGTTAAATATGTCTTTATTTCACCTCCCTACTTTTTCTTACCTTAAAAAAAGTATTCAACTTCTTCTTAAAGTATGGTGAGAACATACAAAAGTATAGTATGCAACCATGTTTTAAAATGAGATATATCAATATGTACTGATGTATAAATATGTCTAGGGTAAATGGGAAAAAAGCATGTTTAATATTAAATCATTTGTGGAAGAAATATATACACATATATATATATTCTATGTGCATAGAAAATTTCTGGAAAAAAGAACTTTTCATTTTGCACTATACCCTTAGGTATTGTTTCAATATTTTACCCAAAGGATGCATTACTTTTATAATAGTAAAAAGGTCATCTAATTACAGCAGCATACCTGGCAGGGGAAATAGTTATTAGTCATGAACCAAATAAAGCTTGGCAATTATGAATAACCAACTTTCCATTATATGCTTATCCGCTCCCTTTCTTGGTTATATATTAAAATGGCAAATTTTGCAAGAAACTGCAATGCAACGGAGGAAATTTTTAACTTCATGCTTTCAAGATATGTGTACATATGTTTAAGGATTTGCCTCTTTGTGTTATTTGTTTCACATTTGCCTTCAACTTAGATTGTAAGTTCCCTGAGGGCAGAGACCCTAAGATATGAAAGACACAGTGCCTGTTTCATAGAGAACATAAATTAAATATTTGTCAAATGAATACAGAATGGATTGCTGCCACGGAAAAATGATGTGTTACACTTGGAAACAAAGATGATTCTCCAGCATCTGTGTGGCATATGTATTTTCAGTGGGAGGATGGCTCTTTGCCAGTTCTCCATTCTCAACTTCTGGTCCACAAGGTTATAGTTTTGGAGGGCCTGAATTAAAGATGCAGTGCCTGAATACAAAGAGGTAAGTTTATGTAGGGGCTGAACACAGCCTGGATTTATCTTAACCAAATTCATCAGTTAAAGTTTGCAAATGTATTAGGCCTGGAATAGTAACAGTAGTGGCTGGGCACTTAGGACTTAGGAGTTCTAGCCCCCACTCTTATCACTTAAGTGTTGTATAGACTTAGACAAGTGAGTGATTTACTTTTCTTATCTATAAAATGAAAGGCTTGAACTAGATGAACTAGATGACTTCTGGGGTCATTCTTATCTACAGAATTCTGATTCTAACTTTGATGGTAAAATTTCTCTTCTCTCAGCTTATATACTAAAGATAGATACATTAATGAAGAGTAATTCATACACAAAAACAAAGATCCATTGACAAAAAATACATGAAATTTAATTTAAAATATATTATTTCTAGTCATATATATAAATTATGCTATTATTAGAAAATAAAACATCATGGATCTTTTCCATGTAAGAAAAATAGCAGGCTAATGATATATTAACAGTAGATTTTAAGGGAAAGAATCCTAATCCAAAAAAGATGAAATATAAAGGATTTGATTAGAATCCAAAGTACCAGCAAAAGCAGAAGCATATTTACTGACCTCAAACAGTTTGAAAGATGTTATCAAACAAAAGAAATTCATTAAACGAGGATACCAAGGACCTGGAGAATAGAGTTGGAAAATGAAGTTTAAAAAAGAAGATACGTTTACTAATGTAAAATTTTAGCATTTAGCCAAAGCATAGATAATTAAAGATTAAGACATACTGTCAGAATATAATTATTAAAGTGATGGAAATTTACATAATTAAATATCCTCTTAGAACTCTAAATAGTCACCCTATTTAATTATTTTTAGGATCAGATTTAGCCTCCTTTTCTGAACACATCCAGGAACTGAAGTAACACAAGGTTAAGTGACTTATACTGAGTTCTCAGTGAGTCATCAGTAAAATTACTACATAGAATCCAAAACTCTTGTCACCGACTCTTATGTTCCAGCTGTTGGACAGTGTCCAGTCTTCAGGGTTCCTTTTCTTGTTTCATTTGTTTTTGGGTTTTGTTTTTGTTTTTTGACATGAGGAAATTGGAATCAGAAAGGAGAGTAAGATGGAAGGTTGCAGAAACAGTGTATTCGTAACTCAGGTAAATGGAGGCTTCCCTCATCTCTCCTCTTCTTTCCATCAGCCATCCATTGCCTACTCACTCCTAATTCAGATCCTTTTCACAGAAAATCACTGTCTACTGACACAAACCCCCAGGCTTGTTCAGGAATAAGACCTACATTTGCCTTATTGTTTGATAGGTGATTCTATATTTTTTCATCATACACTTCAAGAGACCTAGGGACCAAAGTAAATAGATTTACTTCCAAATGACTGTAGAAAGAACAAAGAAGTTGCAAGAATATCCAAATGATGTTCAACATAAATTAGCTCAGAATAGTTTTAAAGAAGTTAAACTACCAGGGTTAAAGTGTGCATTGAAAAACTAGCAAATTCCCCTCTCCCATTAAATCATGTTTAACTGTTATAATGGCATATCATTCATGTTTTTCATTGTTGTATAATTTGTACTATAGAAGTTAATATAAGAAAATATCTACCACCATTTCTAAGATTCAGTTCACTTAATTATACACTTTGGTGTAACTTTTGTGTATGGTGCAGATGTGCCATTAACTAAAGACCCTCATTTATGAATGTCATCAATTTCAATGCATCATGTTGCATTCATCAGAGCTAAACTTCAGGGGCCAGTCCTGTAACTGAACTCTGGACATGCATGTGAAGCTAATATCTTAGTAAACTAAAACCTTAGGCCTTTTGGTCAGTCCAAACAAGCCGAGTTAGGGGCAATTAAGTTCAGAAATTTCCTCCCAAGTTCCTTGACAGTTCATCTGCACTGATGTGTCTATTCTAATCAGGTACTTCAAGCTAGAAAAAGTTATCTATAGGATAATCATATTGATAGTATCATTGAACATATAACATTCTCTAGCTAAAAGACTTACTATTTGTAATTATAAAATATGACAAATAAATTATGGTTTTTATAATAGGCTATGAGTTGATGATCTCCTTTTATCTTAATCCAAAGAGACATTATAATTATCACTTTGTTACACAAGGAAATGGGCCTAGAGATGACAAAACAATGTGCCCAAGACCATCACACAGGTTCCAGTTTTAGATTGATACACACTTTTGGTTACCAGGAAGTTTTCTTTTACAAAGCATTTTTATAGCATGATGTATGGCATTTCTTTTTCTTTTGATATACTCTGGGTATAGCCATGATTGTCCTTATTGTATAGAAAGGAACTATTCTAAAAGCCAAGAAAGTTCAAGAAACTGGCCAAACTCCAACAGGTTAATGGATGGATCGAGACTCTAACACTGTATTTTGCTTTTTCCTACCTTAGGAGAAAGAAATTTAAAATGTGATATTGAAAGATGTACAACCTGCTTTGAAAAAGAGGCACCTTTCTGCTCTACTTGGTGTTTATAAATAAACTAAACATTTTTAAACTAACAGTTGTTGAACCATTGCTACTGGCAGGGCACTCAAAAGACATTGCCTCTTATCTCACCATCACACTGAGGTGTCTTTTATTATATCCCATTTTACAGGTAAGAAAACTAAGGCCCATAAAGAGCAAATTAATGTCTTAAAACTAATCAGCTGCTTGAGTGTAAAAGTTATAGCAGAATTAGAAGATCACAGTTTTGCAATCCCCAAAGTAATAACTGATTCAGGCATATAAATCACTGAATGTAAAGTTGTTGGGTAAAGCATATTCACATGGTAATTTTCTTAGTCCATTTGAGCTGCTTTAACAAAAATACCATAAACTGTGTGGTTTATAAACAACAAACATTTATTTTTCACAATACTGGAGGCTGGGAAGTTTAAGATCAAGGCACAAGCAGATTTAGTATCTGTTGCACACCTGTTCCCATAGACAGAGCCTTCTTGCTTCATTCTCATATGATGGAAGGAGTCAACAAGCTCCCTTGGGCCTCCTTCATAAAGGCACTAATCCTGTTTATGAAGACTCCACCCTTATGATCTAATCACTTCCAAAAGGCCCCTTTTAACACTATTGCATTGGGAATTACATTTTAACATATGAATATTGGGGAACACAAATATTCAATCCATAGCAGTAATAATCCTCCACAGATTACATTCACAATGGCGAGATATGCCCTTACCCAAGTGGTCAAACATAGACTCACCCATAGGAGACAACTCAACAGCATGTTCTCCCTGATGTAAGGCAATAAGAGATACCCACACCACCCATGTAGTATTCTTGACAAAAATGTTTAACGGTTAATCAGACAAACCCAGAATGCAAGTCCTTCTACAAGATCACTGACCTGTGCTTCTCAAATTGTATCAATATTCATGTTTGTTCAGGAAAAAAGAAAAAAAAAACAGAAAATGTTAGGAGGTGGTTCTAAATTAAGACAAATTGAAGAGACATAGCAACCAGAAGTAATCCACAAACTGATTGAATCCTGGATTTAAAAATAAAATTAAATAAAATAAAGTCACACAGTATTTTATAACATACAGGTATAGAATACATCTGAGAGAATGAAAAATTAAAATATTGACTGTTAGATGTTGAATTAAAGTTAATTTTATTAATTATGACAGGTATTTCTTAATAAAATGTCATTATGTATGCAGATTACTTTCAAATGGCTCAACAATAAAAATACACATGTATACTATCAATCTACATAAGTAAGTGTACACACACAGGGGAGGGGGAAAATGAATGTGACAAAAATGTTAAAAACTGGTGGATTTCTGTGAAGAATATACAATTTCCATTGTATTATTTTTTCAACTTTCCATAGGTTTTTAAATTTTCAGAATAAAATGGTAAGATGGAACAAACCAACCCAAGTGGTAAGTGGCAGGTCTATCCAGTTCTAAAGCTGGTATTTGGTTCATGTTATACTGCCACTTCCACATCTGAGGAAAATAGGAAAAGTACTACTGTCAATAATAGATTAACAAAATGCAGTTTGGTCATAATTAATATTTAATCCAATAATCCTCACCTGTGAAGGTAAGTCATACCCAAATTACTTGGGGAGCACTTTCAAAGGACCACTCTAGAATATCCTAGGGCAGGAAGAGGACGGCATGTGTAGATTGAAAAGCCCTCAAGATGATTATTGCACTTCCCCCCTCACCAAGTGAAAATCACTGATTTCGTCCCTGTAATAGCAACATGATGGTAGTTATTTGATGAAAGTCAGATATAGAGGACAACATGGAGGTACTTACGGAGCATGAAGGACAATAGGGTTGGAGAGATAACATCCTAGGTGTGTTTCAAACAGTGAAAAAGAAAGCAGGGCTAGGAGGAGAAGATAGTAATTCTTGCTTCTAGAACCTTCTCTCACAACCTATATAGTATTACCAATCTTCTACTTCCTCATCTGTAAATTAGAGATAGTTATTCCAGCCCTACCTACCTAAAAGTTTAAGGGGGTCATTATCTCCTTTTTCAAATTTGGAGGCACCTAATCAAGAATATTTGATTTATTTTAATTACAAACCAAGAAAACAGGGATGTCAGGTATAGTTCAACAGAAAGGACTGGGAGAATCAGTTTTCAGTACTATTTTTTCTTTCCTTTGAAACAGGGTCTCACTCTGTTGTCCGGGCGGGCTAGAATTCAATGGTATCATCACAGCTCACAGCAACCTCAAACTTCTGGGCTCAAGCGATCCTCCAGCCTCAGCCTCCCAAGTAGTTAGGACTACAGGCACACACCACCACACCTGGCTAATGTTTTCTATTTTTGGTAGAGATGCGGTCTCTCCCTTGCTGAAGCTGGTCTTGAACTCCTGACCTCAAGCAATCCTCCCTCCTCGGCCTTCTAGGATTACAGGTGTGAGCCACCGCGGCTGGCCAGTACTATTTTCTTATCATAAGCAAATAATTTTACTTGTCTCCATTTGTTTATTCATCAAACATATATATATATATATATATTTTTTTTTTTTTTGAGACAGAGTCTCGCTTTGTTGCCTAGGCTAGAGTGAGTGCCGTGGCATCAGCCTAGCTCCCAGCAACCTCAAACTCCTGGGCTCAAGCGATCCTTCTGTCTCAGCCTCCCAAGTAGCTGGGACTACAGTTATGTGCCACCATGCCTGGCTAATTTTTTCTATATATATTAGTTGGCCAATTAATTTATTTCTATTTATAGTAGAGACGGGGTCTCGCTCTTGCTCAGGCTGGTTTCGAACTCCCGACCTCGAGCAATCCACCTGCCTCGGCCTCCCAGAGAGCTAGGATTACAGGTGTGAGCCACTGCGCCCGGCCCATCAAACATATTTTGAGCATCTGCTTTGTCCCAGGCCCTGTGCTGAGAGCTGGATATACTGCAGGGGAGGAGA